TAAATGCTAAGTGAAAGACTTTTTATTCTGATTGTTTCGAAATTAATCCGAAATTAAAATTGGTTTCAATCTGTAATTGTTATGTGCATCTAGCAATACTGTTTGCGTGTGTTTTGTACATTTATGTAGATGCGTATAAATATGTGTCTACGTGTGTACGTTCGTATGTATTCAGATGTCCCATTACTGCCTTCGGTCTATTGTTTTATTCAGTTTTTTTTTCTAATTCAAATTGGATACTTACAAAAGTTTGTGGTTTTATGTACTATATTCTAGTATAGTAGCACCATCGCTCCCGATCTCATTGAAATGGGCCACCGCTAAGAAAAGTCGCGATGGACATCCCATGTAATAGCCGACCACATCACATTGCAAAGTCGACCCGATAATTTGTGGAGAAACTGGACTTGACCATAGTACCACATTCACAGCAGAGCTCTAATACTGCTCCATCGCATTGTCGTGCCTTCCGCACCCTAAAGCCATCTGTTGGAAAAAGAACTCAACGACTATAACCAGCTCAAAAAAGACCGCACCGAAAATTTTACCGCCAGCCTTGTTCTTACTGGGAGGAACACATCCAGTCATTGTTAACCAAATAGATGCATATCATTGATCATGATGGTGTTTACATTTGTTAATTAACTGATTTCTCTTAGAAATCATTTTACTTAACCGCCTATGGCGGTGTTCCGGTGTTTCAATAAACCCAATGATGTAGAGTAATGTGCGAAAACGTTTGCGTCAGCTTGGACTCAAACCCAGATTTCACTCTTTCCAAGAGCGCGTACTGAAACGTTACACTACCGGCGCCCTCGACACTACCGATTTCTTTTGATAACTAACAACTAATAAAAATGTCGAAGAGGAAGGTTGTAATGGGCAACACAACAGATTTAGTTATGTTGCACATCCACGGATCTCCCTCTTCGAGGGATCCAGCCCAGTTAGTCGCGAGTACAGGTGGTGCGTCCTAGGTCAGGTGGTGGATAGGGGAATAAACGCAAACCAAAAGGGACAGTGTGCTTTCCAGAGACGCAGGTGGATTTCGGGAATGAGCTCCCTTCTTCTCAATTAACAAAACTCCATATCTACGAGTCAAGCCGGTCTGAAGTCTGCAACCAAGCTGCTGGGAAGTACATGGGAGGCGGTTAGGAGTCGCCTACAACAAATAAGCTTCTTCACCTCCTCCGAGAGAGACTGGCAAGCTACTCGTGAGCACCCAGGTCCCACGTTTAGATTCCAGGTAGCCATACGTTGGGTATAAAAATGCTAGAAACAGCTATATATGACCTCATTTCCCTCACCCTGAAAGAGCCCCTAGTACGGCAGCACCAGGCAGGACGATTACGGGAAAATCGCTAAAGTCTCAGAGCCGAACTAAGCTGCCGAAATGGAAACGGACTAAAAGGAAGACCTGCACCTATAATGCACGAACATTTGCACACGAACCCACCGTAAAAAACCTACTGATTTGAGCAAGAAGGATAAGTACAACGTCTTTCGTCTGGCTGAGACGAGAAGGCGCCATCCTTTTCAGGCTGTTTATGACACTGGAGAACAACTGTTTCTTGGAACATGCAATAGGAGAGGTGAAGGCGGCGCTGGCGTTCTCGTCAAATCAAATTTGATCGTGAACATAGATTCATTTGACCAGCCAATACCCCGTATCGGCCGATTACGGTTGAAACGATGTGGATTAATGCCGACTTCAACCATCTTCGTTGCTTACTCACCAACATCAAGCTATGTCGAAGGCGAACTCGAAGCGTTCTATATGGACAACGGAAAATTCATCAGAAAATACCAGCCATTCCTCAATGTCATTGTTGGAGATTTTAACGCAAAAATGGGACCCAGGAGAACATCCGAAGAACGTCACAATGGAACCCACGAACTAGAATGGAATGAACAGGATAAGAAGTTACTTAAGTCTATCATGACAACTCATAACATTCATAGTAGCTCATAAGTCTGGAAGCCTCACTCTCCACGATGAACGTGGAAGCCTCTCAATGGAGAGTACCATTACGAAATAGACCTCATCTTAGTAAAGCAACCTGACCGATGTCGCCATTCTTCCTAAGTTCTACACTGTATCAGATCATAGACTCTTCGGAGCCACGTCTGTTTTACGCTGTCAGGAGAGAAAGCCGCTAAAATCAAATAACGATGTTCCAGAAATACCATAAACTGGGATGTATTCATATCATAAATCGGTTCTTGGCAAGATACCGAAATCGACAATATCGGCGGAGAATACGACCGTCTCGTTGAATATCTTCACGGTAGCGCCATGAAAGGCGAGAGTTCTCAAGTCACACGAAAAGCAGCTTCTCTCCGCAGATACTCGAGCTGACACGTCAACGTGGAATCTCACAATTTACAGGCCATCGAAACCTTGCGCCCGAGTTGGCGAAACGCCGCAGAGAAGCGATAAGGAAGACGTCAAAGAGAGACGAGCAGCAGTTATGGCAGAACCTGCAGAAGCTAGGAAGAGCATTCGTAAAGACCAGCGAGGCTTCGCCAATTATAGGACCAAGATGATTGCACTCCGATGCCCTGACGGGTTACTTACAGGTTCCGGAAGTGTAATGGAGAAAATCATTCACCAGTACTACTTGAGTTTCTTCGCTAGCACGTCCTCTTGGCGTCATATAAATTAAAAGAAGATGAATATGTCGCTTCACCGGTCCTCCCTTCCGAAATCCGGAATGCTATATAGTCGGTGGACAACAAAAACAACACCCAATCCACTCAGCAATAGACAAGTGCACCTGAAAAATCTATCGCTAGTTCTCATCAACACCCTGGCTTAGCTCTTCATTCGCTACCTGTCAGAGTGCAAAGTTCCTAATCAATGGAAATTTAGCAAGACCGTATTGCTGTTCAAGAAGGGAGACCTTAACGACATAGGCAACTTTTGCCCAATCTGCCTTTTGTCCATTGTCTTCAAACTCTTCACTCGAATCATCCTGAGTAGGACTGACAGAACACTGGAAAAAGAACAGCCATGTGAACAAGCAGGGTTCCGAAAAGGATTTAGTATCACAGACCACATCCCCACTGCCACAAGACTCACTGAAGTTTCACGAGAGTACAAGCATCCACTCTATCTCACTTTCGTCGATCTGAAGAAGGCTTCTGATTCAGTGAAAACAGAAGCGGTTATTGACGCTCTGGATAACCATGGCGTCTTAAATCGGTACATAATGACCCTTCGTGAGCTGTATGGAGATTTCACGACCAAAATATTTCTATTCTACAAGGATATCATCATCGACGTAAGAGGAGGAGTTCGACAAGGCGATACAAATTTGCCAAAATCACTCAGTGCCACTCTCCAAAATGTCATGAGAACATTAGAGTGGGACGATATGGGAGTGAAAATTGACGGTCGGCAAGTAAATCATCTCCGCTTTCCGCTTGCTGATGATATTGTCTTCATAACACCAAACATCAGCCAAGCGGAACTACTGTTGACCGATTTTGACAGCGCCTGTGAAAACATTGGTCTTCACCTAAATCGGACGAAGACGATGTTCATGAGGAACGGATGGGTTCTGAATTCACGCCCAACGGAACGAAAATCTCCGAATGCTCCAATTACGCTTCTCGGTCGTGAAATCAACATGATAAACGACCTAGCTGCAGAGTTGAGTAGGAGGAAACGACCGGCTTGGGGAACGTTTATGGGCATCGAAGATATAGTGAAGAGGACAGAGAACATTCGACTGCGTGCCCACTCTTTCAACTCGACGATTATCCCTGCCCTAATGTATGCAAGAGAAACCTGATGGCTACGTCAGCAGGCTGAAAGTCACTTGGCGTTATCGAACGCGCAGTCAAAAAATCGATGCTAGTAGTATCCTGTATTTCGTAAATGAGAGAAAGGATTCGAAATTACAGCCTACGTCATAGGTTGAATCAAAGGCGCCGCTCTACACGCCAGGATATAGAAAATAAAGTGGTCCGGGCAAGTGGTGCTCTTCAGCGACAATCGATGGACGAGAGCCGTTACCACCTGGATTCCTCGGGGCATCAAGCGCTCTACAGAAGACCATCAACCCAATGGTCCAATTTCTTCACGAAAGGCATAGAAGAAAGATATGATATTCAGCGAATCTCTAGAGCGAGCAGGAGCCACTGGGCTATTCTTGCACGCGATAGGGAAAGCGGAAGTTTTGCTGGTACCACGCTCGATTCACTCGACGATGAACGAGACGACAGGTGACGGGTGACAGGTGATATTGCACATTACTGTAATTCACATATTGCCCTTTACGTCTTGTCGCCAATTACTGTGCTAAACACTCAACCTCTAAAGGACGGCCATGGACATCGATGCGCGCAGAGGGACTTGCGCGGTTTTTGTTATTTGAACAAGGATTTTTCTTCTTTCGGCAAAGATTTTGAAATTCTTGTATTATTTCGATAGAGTAAAATAACCCTACTCGCTCACTCGTGATCAAGTCCTGCCTGACGTTCAGACTTCTCAATAAGACTCAGCATCCTTGATTATATATCTATAACATCACAGAAAAACTATATGAACAATAAAAGTGAAAGTTTCTCAGAATATTTCGTGCTTATCTACTACTCAAGGCTCTGAATAAAAGGAAGCTGAGAATATCAGGCAGTGCTGATCTGAAAATATGTTAGCTGTCTCTTGCTTGTCTTATCAGAAAAAGCGAAAATTGGACCACTTCAGAAAGACTAAGAAAGCATTCAAAGGAAGAAGAGAAGAAAATCTTCTTAAATCTTCAAATACGAAACATTAGAAGTGTACATAGTAAGCAGATAGATACAGAAGTTTAATCAACTGGAATTTGAATTATATTATACCTCATCTCTTTATAGGAAACGCATTGGTACGTTATGCATCATACTCACAGGTTAATTTAGTCAACAGTCAATCGAAATTCATTTATTTGACCGCCTCCTGCGGTGGTATGTCGTTGTAATATGCCCCATAATGTGGAGTGCTGTGCATAAGCATTTGCGTCAGCCGGGATTCGAAGCCAGATCTCATTCTTTCCAGGAGCGTGTGCTTGACCGTTGCACCACCGACGCACGTTCTGCACGGCACTCTTTCTACGCTACAACGCGTATCTTATGAAACGATTATAGAGTAGACCTAACGTATCGACTTAACGCGATTATAAGATCATATTGATGCAAGAGGCGGTCAAATAAATGAATTTCGATTGATTACTGATACCCAATATGTGTCACCATAAGTGGGTTTAATGCCGATAGCAGCTGCCCTGTGAGACCGCCGGCGGTTACCTGTTGACAGATAACGCGTTGTAGCGTAAAAAGAGTTCTGTGCAAAACGAGCGTTGGTAGTGCAACGGTTTAGCACAGTCTCTCGGGAAGAGTGAGATTTGGGCTTGAATCCCTGTTGACGCAAATGGTTTCGCACAGCACTCCACATTATTGAATTTAATCAGCAATAAATAAGAAAAAATTATTTTCTCATCCTCGAAATCTTTTATTTGCAAAGTTCTAACACGCCTTTATGTCTTGAATTTATGAATCTCACCTTCAGTCAATGAAATTACGATATTAGTGAAACGCACTTAACAAAAAATGTTGTACCAGATCTTATTGAGACAATGAATGGTTGGGAAGTAGTCATTCACAACTTGGACGCAATGAGAGGTCCTCAAGTTTTCTAGAGTTCTTGATTGGGAACTTTTAGAAGCCTCTAGCGAGGTAAATGGAGGCCAATTATGATACTATATCCTTGAAGTCGATAAAAATGCGTGTATGTGCCCCGTTTCCTGCACGTATGTTAAGCCCATGTCTAGAAGTTGAAATACAGAAGCACGAAGTAATATGGAGCTGCTCACAATAGAGAAACGAGTTTCCACTTGATTAAATATAGCTATCAGCAAAATAATCGACAAGCTAGCCATCAGTACACGACGCCAATTCAAAGAAGTGAATAAACAACATTAGCGCTCAAAAATGTTTCTCAAACGTCAAGCTCAGTTAGAGGTTAATAGGTTTTGTTTATTTTTGAATAGCACATACTCAAAATAGAAAGAAAGCGAGTGCTAGTTCAATGAAAGAGATCCTTGTATAAGGACTGACGCATCAAAAACTATTCTGCTTAGCCGCTTCGCTATGAGGTGTCGTCACTTTTCCGTGACTGTAATGTGGGTGCACATGGTTCTATGGCAACTTTTTGTCGTTCTCCTTCAGCGACTCATATTTTCGCTTCCTTTCCATCAGTTTGTTGCTAAATAATTGCGGAAGGTTCGGTAAGTTCAGATATCATTGAATTTGATAATTTTTTATTCACGCAGGTGTTATCTCGTCAATTGTCAGCTTCCTCATCAATGAATGTTGTTTATAGTAGTCGACTAATCGCATTTGAGAGGCGTTTTCGGATATCGCTCTGCATCTGGTGTATTTATGAACTGGATTCTATGAGTTTATATACTTTTGCTAATATGTGGGTTGAACTCTCTCAGTAATCACTCACTCTCATTGTGGCAAAGTGAGCTTCCGCTGTTGACATAAGATGCAAGGCTGTCTTGCATTTCTGCCTTTTAGAGATCGCCCAGGTTGACTCTTCCAGAGCGTACTACATTTCTCTTCTATTGTATTGGTTGCTGGTTTATTCGCGTTTTCACCCTTTTCTCTTTTCTTACTAACGATCTTCATATAGTGGAGAATAATTTTTGAAGATCGCACTACTCTTAATATATTTCCCCAATCTTCTACTTGGCTATCCTTTGCAACAAGATATTTAGTCAGATGTTGATCCATGGTCCTGGGACAACTGGAGCCTTCTCATGCTGCTGTGGTTGCACCTCAGCATGCCTTCATGACTTGACCTTGACTTTCTCGAAAAAATAAAAAATTGGTGTGCTTCGGCGATATTTCTTACGGTTTTGTATGCTACATTTGCATCTCTCATAATCTCACAATCGCCTGATCTTGATATTTCGTTTTTCTATCTAACTATTCCTAAGCCTTGTCCGTGAATATAGTATTACAACAATATACGGCACAACGAAGTACTTCATAGTAGATCAACTTTCTGGAAAAGGCATAACTGCCAAATTGCGTTATTGCCTTTGAGAGGATTCAATAACGACCTCGCTCACCATGTCGAGACTATATCTTGCTGGTACCGACGTCAGCTAAAGAGTTTATTCTTCGAAGTATCCCTGCATGACATTATAGATAATAAGAACATTCTTTTACGTTGCTACAAAATTGATGTCTAATTTGTAATTTCATTTTTCCCGTCCATACTATAGCAGTAGTTTTTCTTTCTAACAATATACTGCTGTTAATGATTCATGAAACTCGTTTTGTGCACTGTTCCTCCGTATAAGTAAATGACAATATAAGCCGAGTTGCTGATAAATTCCAAGTGGCGAAATTTCGAGTATAAAAACAGGTAGTTCCAGAAAATATAATTTGATGAATTCAGATGAAGACGAAATGCAGTGCAAATGACTCAAAACACTGGTGACCAAAGAATCAAATAAATTGTTAGTGAACGCTGCAACTTAAGTCTAAGAAATTTAAACAGAACCTACGCTTGCAATAAAAGACAACAATTTGGGGGTATTTCTGTAACGATATACAAGCGTTATACGAGTATACGCAGAACTCAAAAGCCGCAAGCATCTCAGCTGTGCTGGGCATCCAAAACAGGGGAAAGTTGCTGAAGTTTTGCAGCTAGATAGTAATAGAAAAAAGGTAGATAGTAAGAGCTAAGAAATAGTAGTGAGAATATCCATTTAGAGCTATTTTCAAGCTCACAACCGACAATTTCCAAATCTAGCTGGAAACATCCAATATAGTCTGTGAGATTGTTCAAAACCTTTTCAAGGTTGGTACGTCAATAACTTACGTACGTTTCTGTCCTATCGTTCGCCTCATCAGAGCAGTGTGCTCTACACTGAACCCTTTTTCATAGCAGGGAGAGATGTTGTGGTGATAGCATGTGATATTACATTATCACTATTTTTTTCACCCGATGGATCGCGGCCGATAGCGAATATGTAGATATCCTCTCGAATCAACTGTTTTCAAACCTCGCTATGAGGGCTCAATATCACCTCACACATGTCTCACCTGTGGTCCCGCTGATCGTCGAGTGACTCAAGCGAGCTCTTCTTAACACTTCTATTTTTCCCTATCGCGCAGAAGGGTAGCCCAATTTGTTCTCCTCTCTCCTGAGATTCGTTGAGAATCATATTTTTCTTCCATGCTTTTCGTGATGAAAATTGAACCATTGGGTCAGTGATGCTACTGTAGAGCGTTTGATATCCCTAGGAATCCGATCGGTAACGGCTCTCTCCATCGGTTGTAGTTGTGGCGCTCATGTGTCCGGCCCACCTTATTTTCGATATGCTGGCGTGTGGAACGGCTTCTCTAATCTACGATCGCTAACATAGGTCGGAACTTTGGATCCTTTATCTCATTTGCGAAATACGGGATACTATTAGCATCGACCTTTCGACTGCGCGTTCAATAACACCAAGTGATCTTTCATCCTGCTCACATAGCGACCAGGTTTCTGCTGCATACGTTACTGCAGGGATAATCGTTGAGTCGAAAAGATGGGCACGGAGTCGGATGCTCTTTGTCCTCTTTACTACATCCTCGATGCTCTTAAACATTCCACAAGTCGCTCGTTTCCTTCTGCTTAGCTCTGGAGCTAAGTCGTTAATCATGTTGACTTCACAGCCTAGATAGACGTAACTGGAGCGTTAGGAGATTTTCGTTCCGCTGAGCGTGAATGGGACATTCAAAACTCCTCCGTTCCTCATGAACATCGTTTCGTTAGATTTAGTTGAAGGGCCAATCTTTCCATAGGCGTTGCCAAAATCGGTCAACATTCCCACTGCATGGCTGACACTAGGTGTTATAAGGACAATTTCATTAGCAAGGAGAAGATGGTTCAAATGTCGACCGTCAATTTTCACTCCCATATCGCCCCACTCGAATGTAATGAAATTTTGGAGGAATGGCAACGCCTTGTCGGACCACTCTTCTTACGTTGATGGTATTATAGTTGCAGAATGGCGCTATTCTCGTCGCGAAATCTTTATATAGCTCACGAAGAATCATTATGTACCAATTGGGGAAGCCCTTATAATCCAAAGCCTCTATAACCGCTCCTGTTTCCACAAAACCAAAGGCTTTCTTCAAATCGACGAAAGAGACAGAGCTGTAGTTTGTACTCTCGTGAAACTGCAATGAGTCATGTGATTGTGCGTGTGGTATGTAATACTGAATCCTTTTCGGAACGCTGATTGTTCACATGGCTGCCCTTTGTCTATTTTCCGTCAATCCTGCTTAGGATGACTCGAGTGAAGCGTTTATAGACAACGAATAACAAGCACATTGGGCGATAAATAACTATGTAGCGAAGGTCTTCCTTTTTAAACAACAACACGGTCTTGTTGGCTTTCCACTGATTGAGAACCTTGCATTCTGACAGGTAACAAGTGAAGAGCCGAGCCAGGGTATCAATGAGACTGGTTCAATGCTGTCTGGATAAGGTGCTGTTCTGTTTTTCATTGACGATATAGCATGCAGGATTGCGGAAGAATTCTTCCCCACTTCCGCAGCTTCTCCTTAACAACTGCTCATCTTTCCTTGAGACCTACTTTTATCGCTTCCCTGCAGCGATTAACAAATTCGCACGTAGAGTTCGCTTGCCTGTATCTCGTGCGATTCCATGGTGACCTATTAGCTCGGGTGTCTGCGACGACAAGCGTCTTTTCGGCACTAATCCACATCATTTCAACCGCAATCGTCCTATACACATTGCTAATTGCTCAGATAATCGATGATCGCTGTGAAATTCGATCTGACGAGGAGTACAACGCCGCCGACATTTCTGCGATCGCATATTCAAACAAACAGTTCTTTTCCGGTGTCATAGTGGAAAGGGTGGCTTCTGCTCGTCACCGCCAGACCAAAGGTGTCGTACTTTCTTTCTTTTGCTTGAATCAATAGGTCTTCTACAGCGGACTGGTGAGCAAGTGTTGGCGCATTGTAGGTACAGATCGTCATTTTGGTCCTTTTCCATTTTG